TCTTCAACCAAACACTCACTCTTCGGCCATCATCTCGTCCAAGGCTGGAGCAGGACGTGATCAGCCACCGGGCTGGGCTCAAGGGAGATGGTTTGGACGGGGCCTCAGAGGATCAAGATCTGGACGTCAAGTCAAAGGAACCTGGACCTAAATAGCGCTGGCCTCCAACCTAAAGGCGAGGGCCTCCGACCTAAAGGCGATGGCCTCCAACCTAAAAGCGATGGCCTCCAACCTCAGACTGGATGGGGGTGCTGGCTGACTGGCTCGTGATGAGCATGAGGCACCAGTCTCCCTCCACCGCCTCGGACGACCATCCAGTCTTTTTTCGGATGAAAACAACTCATGTCCAGTTCACCTGGGTTGCTCCCATGACCTACTTCACTATTCATGGAGTTGCCCTACAGACCTGGGGGGCCCTCAGATTCTGAGCGGTTACTGCAATATCCTTGTGAAACTGGAGGTGTTTGCCACTCACAGTACCTGGGTTACCTCAAGCTGCGCAGCGCAGAGCAGTTGCCATAGATTCATTTGCTGAGATTTTTCTTCGCCCTTTCGCCGATCTGTCGCCATCACATGTCGCCGGCAATTCTTCGCCTCATCGGTTCAGTCCGCGTTGCTCGGTCGAACCTAAACCTGTATAGACTCGCAAACAGATAGAAAAGTAGTTCGAACCACTAAAATGATCTAACATGTATTGGACACCGTTTCTATCTATTTGAGGACCACTATAATAACCTGTTGGGTGTCTTCTTGCGGCCATCCGCGCTTTCGGCCGTCGACCTCAAAACGCTCCGCGGTGACAAATGAGGACAACTATAGCACCAGGTTCAATCACGTCATTGGAGAGAAGTGGCGTCCTCGTCGCCGCGCAGAGGGCGGGGTGCGTGCGTGCAGCGTGAACGTCCAGAACCTTCCGCGTGGACGGACGAAGGAGCGATGTGGAGCGTAAGGGTTGGAGAGTCATCGTCTGATCAGAGGTGGAGAAGAGGTGGAGAAGGACACCCCGATGAAAAAACGTGTCCAATCGGTGAAAAGACACACTTGTGACTGGTGGCGGAGGAAACTTCCCAAAGACCATGATTCCTAGGAGAGGCGATGAACGCCAGACCTTGAAAGGTTCGAACGACTTTAATTTTTACCATGTCCGCAAGTTGGTCCGCAAGTAGTGTTTATGGATGTTTTTGCTCACTTGGCCATCGCCCTCCCTGAATGTGTAGCAGAGAGCGGCAGCCTCGGAAAGCTTCTGAAGATGGATGAAAACACGTGGTTTGTCAATCCCTCAATCCACTTGAAAGCGTATGGTACAGACGCCACACTGGTGAACGTGCAGTGAAGGGAATCGAAGAGTACTTCAAAGTGTTTGCTTTACTGACCTCCACCTAGTAACCTAGTAGCTTCTTGCTACTAGTAATGGCCTCCAACCTAATAGCGATGGCATCCACCTGGTAGCTTCTTGTTCCTAATAGTAATGCCAGGAGCTACTAGTAGCTTCTTGTTACTTGAGGCCATCTCAAAGCCGATTTGAGTCGTTTGAGCTGGCTACGGGCTCACTCAGGCTGGGACAGCTTTTGGAGAAGTTGGAGGCTTTCTCAAACTGCCCGGGGCCCAAGGCAGTTCCTGAGGGGCCTTTTGAAAAGGACACCGTTTCCTCATGTGGTCCGGGAGAGGAAGAGTTAGTTGGACTGACAGACATGTCTGCAGTCTGCAGAGCTTTGAGAAAAGCGGACTGGTCACAGAACCTTGATTCGATCCTCGCGTTCTTTTCTTCCCGCGCTGGGGAAGATGGAAGAAGCGTAGCCGAAAAGCTGCGAGTTGTTTTGGACTGGAAGGTTGGTCTTGGGACTGGAATGTTGGTCTACATCAACCATCATTGACCCCCTATTCAACCAGCCCAAGCTGATCTAGATCGGTTTCAGATGCCAACTCCGGATCGGGACCTCCTCGTGATCCGGTGCCACTCAACGCAGGCTCTCGCCGTCACGGCGGTCTTCTCTCCACCTTCCCCTTGAGGCCAGGTTTGATCGGCTTTCCAGAGGGTTTGGGTAGACCAGGCGATGACGACACGTAGGGAACCAGCGGATCTGTCCGGAGCAAATCTATGCAAGGCGGCCATCTGGTGGTTTGGCCCCCTGAGATGTGAAGACGAAGACCAATCACAAATGGTTGAAGGCCGGCTCGAAGGAAGATCAACCCGCCAGGAAGACCTTTTGCATCCTATATGCAGGTCTTATCATGGTCACCTCGCACAGTCGGAATGCGACTCCGTGTGGTCGAACAACGTGTGTTTTTTTTCTCCGTCGAATCCCTAAACTGACGTTGATGGGTCTTGTCAAGCTGAGCTGGAGCTGGCAGTTGGCACCAGGATCCTAGCAACGTTGGGAGCCTCCTGAGCTGCACCTGTCCGTGTTAGAAATGTCATGAAATGTCTTTACTAGTAACAAGGATGCTATTTTGTGGAGGCCATCGCTACTATAGGAACAAGACAGTAGCAAAGTGCAAAATTGGGGCGACAGCTTCCAGAAGTCCAGACAGCCGACCCTTTCAGGCGCCTATATAACTCTTGTTTCGGAAGCCGAGAGGAGATCCGGTGGTGGCAGCCCTCGGTGCAAAAGAACCTCGAGATGTTAAGAGTTGAACTGACCTTCGCTTCCAGAAGATATGCATCCCCTAGGGCCCCCTTCCAGTCGTTTGGCATGGTATGTTACTGGGTGGTTTCAACGCAACCAGTGCCCCAACAGGCCACCCAGGGGGGCTGCCTCCACTGGTCTCGGGGTCTCGGGTAGGTCCTCAGCCACCACTCCGGTGACTCGCGAGGCGAGTGACTCGGTGATCGGTGCGAGTGACTCGGGAGAACCTGTGGTGACCCGGTGCGGGGGAACCAGAGAAGTGGAGGGATCAAAGAAAGACCTGCAAAACCCAGACGCGACCGGACTGCCAGTCCGGACTGCCGCCCCAGAGTCTGACCCCCCCTGGCACCACCACCCCTGGCAGTCCGGACTGGCAGTCCGATGGAGTGTTTGGGAAACGGACACATACCGACAACGAGGCATGGACGAAGCCGCAGTCGAAAAGCCCGAAGAATAGGACATCCGGATGCGCTAGCATCGTTGAATCTGTGGGGGGACAGGCCACTGGCCAAGGAAACTGATATCGATTTCATCCTACTGAGATGCGGGATCCATCAGGAATCTTGAAGCCACTGATTGGTGCTTTCGTTCATTGACACATTGATGTTTGTGTCAAGACTACCCATGCATGACTACCCCAACATACAAGTTCTTGGGGGAAGGCAGGTCTAACGTCTTCAACTGTCAAAACCACCATTCAGTGGGCCGATCCCGACTTCCATGGCCTCGACCTGATGAAGATCAGTCGGTCGCCTGGCGTGGCAACGCATGGAGCCCGGGAGAAGCAAAGATGACACTGGTTTCATGTCCCATACACTGCATGATACTTCATGTATGCCCCAAAAAAGCCTATACCCCCAAACCACCACCCCTGGCCTGATCAGCATGCCAGTCCCATGGGTCGTGGTGGGATCATGTTTTCAACTCCCTCTTCCTTCTGTTCGAGATGGGGATTTCCCCCCCTACCCGCACCCGGCATACGTCCACGATGTCTAGGCGTCCGTCCAACGCGTCGCACATGCGGTCGACTTGGGTTACCTTTGGGTGACCCTATGGTCATGTTCACGCGACCCGATGGAATTTGGCTCAAGCATGCTAAAATCAGTCGGATAGTGAAGGAGAAATGTGCCAAAGACTTTGACCCCACTGGGTCATATGGTGTTAGCTGTTAGCCCTTTTCGCACTTGAATCTTTTGCCAGAAACCTTGGCCCTTGGTGCCGAAATGAACGATGTATGATCTTCCAAGCCTTTAAGATTACTTCCTAGCACTCCCAAGTTGGGTGCCCTGTCTGGAAACCTATCATCTATCAGTACTAGGGTTGTCCAATCAGGTGACCGAAAGGAAGGAGTTGGGTGGTGACGATGGCCATCAGCATGCTTTGCTCGAAGCCGAAGACGCCGCCGGAAGCGTAGAATCCAGAAAGGAGGTATACTGCTTGTTGATATCTCAGCAATCTGGTTTAGTTCAACAGGAAGGTGGGTCCCAACCAACACTCACTGAACAACTTAGCAAACTAGTTCTCATGAGCAGATGTTGGAAAATACCAATTCTGCACCAGCACCTTCTTGAACGGGTCACCTGGCTGGAAGCCCCTACACTACTAAGGAACCTCCATTGGACGCCCCTTGAGGTTCCAGATATGCAACATATATCCGAAATCACCACGCCACTGAAAAGGCTTCAAAGATCTTCAAAGTCTCTCAACCCGTGGAGGAACGCCGATAATTAGCGTGGATGAAAGATGCATCACCACGCCGCTTGGTGGCTCTGTATCATCCTTCAGTTTACGTTGCGTCCTTCACACTGGAGTCCGCTTCCTTCGCTGAGTGCTGGGACAGTGCTGACAGGCGGTCGGGGGCGAGGGAGGTGCTGACAGCAGCGGTGAGTCCAAGGGTGAAACCACAGGCATTTGACACAAGCTATGAGAGGTCAAGTGATCTGACCCTACTTCTATCGAAGAGTCAAAAGGGTTCTTCACCCTCTGTCGGAGTGGTTGGCAACCCCCTCCCTTCCTACTCTAGCGCGCCTTTTGCGGAGAGAGCGACTGAGGGAGTTCGTCGTTTCCCCGACAGCTAGTATTGGACCGGCGTTTTCCCCAAGACATGCATGCCAAGAGAGGTTGAGAGACCTTATAGGACCCCATAGTGGTACATATGGGCTACAAGGCTGTTCAACCTCTCTTGGGCACTTTCCATGTGAACATGCGTTTTCGCACGCCTTGGCTTCAGCCAAGCTGCCAGTGGGAGGTCCCAGGAGGGCGGCCGGAGGTCGTGTGGACTCATTCTCCCAGACGTTTTGAGCACCAGGTGTGTGTGGGGGGGCGCTCTACATGCATGCTCATGTCATGCTCGGCTCCGCTGCATCTGGGTTCAGCCGGTGTTTCAAATGGGAACCTGTTGCGCCTCTGAGCGGGGTCATGCTTTGGATCAGGACTTCCCCGACTTCGCGGAGAAATGCCAAGTGGTTTCTGTGAGGTTTGACCACGATACTGTGAAGGAAAGTTTGTTGCAAGCAGATCAGGTTGATGCCATTCCCCTCAACTACGACGTTTTCCCACAAGAGCTCATAGACCAGACCGTCGCTTTTGCAACAGAGCAGCTGGGCATGTCAATGTCTGAGTGGCAGAAGGAATGGTGCACTCCTTTCCGTGTGTCACTCTATTTGCGCGGAAGGAACGGGGATGTTATGGCTGCTGGGAAGCTCGTGGCAAAAGCTTTAGAGTGGCGAAGGCAGCATTGGGACCTTTTGACTGGCCAGCGGACTCCTATCTGGCAAGGGGACATGCGGATTCTATGCCAAGGAGGTTCAGGCGACAAGCTTGGGCAAGTCATGCGGGCGTGCTCAACAGGGAAAGTCCCCAATAGAAGGACCCTTCCGCCAAGAGGTGTGACATCCTCAATCAGTCGTCAATTAGCCCAAAAAATGTCCAAAAGATAAGCAAATATGACCCACACATTCACCACCAACATCAAATGTAGGCCATGTTTGCTTACATATCGTTTGGATAGTGGACCTTGGGTGCCGGGTATGACTCACTCAGCCACAGTCCATACAGTCCTTGCTCGCATTGAGGGAGCCAAGACCAGACTACCAAAAAAAGTCGTATGCCTACCCAGATACCCAGAAAGTACGTGGATTATCGGATCACCTCTTGAAATTACCGGGAACAACCCCATGGGACGGACTATGCCGCCCCGACCCCCCAAACCCCAAGTCCCATCACCCCGAGTCGCCTGATCGAGTCCCCTGGCCTGAGCGGAAAAGGGGTGAAAGGGTGAAGGTCGGACCGATCCACAGCGGGAACCGGCCAGTCAGAATGGACTACGGCCTGAATCAGCCTGGACTACGGCTCGACTCCTCATGTCACACCTCAAGTATCTGCCGGCTTGTAGTATCGGGTATCGGTTGGCTATTCATATCAGGGTGGACTTCAGAAGAAAGAAATGCTTCACACGAGCCACCAGTCAAAGAGTTTGACCTTCCCAGGTGTTTCAAGATTTTTCGGAACAGGTTGAACCTTGTGCAGGTCATCCGTTGCTATACACATCTCACAGGTTCCAGACTCAAAGCTATAACCAGCGGGACATGGTCGAGCATGCAGCGGTCGTCTTAGAGACGGCCGTGAAGATGATGCCCCAGCACGTGCACCAATTGGATGCCGTCCTGGATTTGAAGCACTTCCAGCTTCGCTACAACTTAGATCCACGAGGTGTCATCGGTGCAGGCGAGTTGCTCAAGTATGCCTTCAGAGATGTGCTCCGGAGTATTATGTTTCCTGGTTGCATGGTTGCAGCGGTTTCCGGGATGGACGTGAGATGTTCAGCAGGCACGGTAGGTGAGGTGAAGCTGATTTGCTGACTTCGGCTAAATTGGATCTGGACTCTAGAAATGGTTGGGGGAAGATGATCGACATAGGCCTTTCCAAAAGTGGCTGGACTAGCAACAAGTCACATCTCGATGTGAACAAGTCTGATGTACATCTGTGTAAGTGTGCAAGCTCCGTATGATGTACATGTGTAAGTGTGTAAGCTCCGTATGCCATCGTACGGACGTGAGGAAAGCAATCACTCATCATTTCCTTCACTCATGTTCGACCGGGCGACACTAGTTTCAAAGCAAAGCATATCAGGAGAACACATCATGTACCAGGACCGAAACCAAGTCCGGTGGGTTTGGGACACCCCTTCACCACTAAGAGGCTATTTATAAACACCTCCCAAGGAAGGTCCTGGTATACATCATGTGTTTTGGTTTGGTGTCATGTATATCATATATTGGTCTCAAAAGGTCTCGGCATCAACGCTGGGATTCAACATCACTCCGAGGATTGTGGATGCGCCAGCTGCTCTCAGTGTGCTTTGGAGCTTGGTGAAGCCCACCTTGCCTGAAGGCACACAGCGGAAGGTGGTCTTCCTTCCAGCGGAAAAGGCTTTAGAGTTCTTGGATTGAAAGATCTAAGTGCGGTAGAACGCTGGTGGCGAGGGGGTTGAGAGCATGGCCTCTTCAGCATGTCCTGCAATTCATACTATTCATATCTATATTCAGAATTCATATCATTTCATCTATTCTATTCATACAAGTCTTCTGTCGGTTTGAGCTCCAGACTCAGCCGGCGAGTTTGGTGCGGAAGTCTGAACAGCCAGCGAGTTCGTGGGGGCTTGCGCCGCGATCCCGGGATCGCGTGCGGTGTCACCCGAGGGTCCGAGGGGCGCGCTGGCACCGGAGCGGGGCACCCAATCAGCATCCAGGCAAACCACGAGAGCTCGCTGGTAACCAGTGGTTCCAAAGACGAAGACCATAGAGCTAAAATCCCTGGTTCCTTATATAGTGGTGTGCCTGGGATACACTGGGCTATATATGTCACGTTACATGTCACAAGGGGGATGTCAATGGACCAACCAGCGGATTGTGGCTCCGGGGTTTAAGATGTTTATATCTTGGACATCGTGAAAAGTGCATTCGGCCGCTGTTTGATCCAATGCAGCAGGTGCAGCTGCAACAGCGCCGAAGTTGAAGAGGCTACGACACCAAGAGCTTGAAATCAACCATCTCCAACTTCAAATCACCAACAGAGGTTGAAGCACCCTATAGTACTATATACACTATCCCAGTTTGGTACCCCAGGTTTTCCGGGTCCGAACGTTCAGGTCACTATCCACCTCTCTTTTTGAGTCGAGGTGTGTGTCCCGACTTCAAGGTGCACGAGCAGCCCACGTCCTCCAAGAAGTCATCCAGGCGAATCGTGAAGCCCACGGAGACGGCGCCGTCCCGCGCTTTCCGAGCGAGGTCGCAGTGTACGAATCAGCGGATGACCTGAGGGCCAGGAAAGTTGGGTGAATTCGGAAGTTCATCAGGGCCGTGTCCAGGAAAATTCATGGACAAAAAAAACATACAAAACACTATGACACTATATATATAGGTTATATAGGCCTTTATTGGAGGTGATTAAATGATTATACAGGCTTGAAATCCTTGGTGGGTCCTGGTACAGTTAGGTCCACAAATGGAGGTTTCCATCCTCCAGTTGATTGAGTTTGAATGTGCCATTTGGGCTCCCATGATGTCAACATCCGAGACTGGGGATGGCTGTTCAGCTGACGATGTTTTTTGGGTTTGGCCATGTTCTGGTTGTTCAGCAAGCGGAAGGAAACCTCGGAGAGCTTCAGGCTTTAGAGTTTTGAGGGGTGGGAGCCAGCCTGGCCTTTGCGCCGCCTGGAAGCCAGATCGACCTGCAAAGCAGGACGCATGCAATCGCAGCCTGAGCTTTGGCCTTTGCCTGCGATTTTAGCTAGGATTCTTCAGGCGAGCTGCAATGTAGTAGAGGAAAGCCTTTGAAAGGCATGTTGGAGATAGAGAACCAGAAAAGCGTGTTGCGCATTGGATGTCCAGCGTCCGTCAAGGCCAAAGCGCATCTCCAGGTTTTGAACTTCGGGGGGGTCCAAGCTTGAACTTCGGGGGACATAGCCATTGCGGCAAGTTCATTACCAGGGCCTCCAAGGGGTGCCCTGTTTGGAAGCCTACAGGTAGTGTGGGGTAGTCCATTGGACACCCCTTGGAGGGTCCTGGTACCAATCAATGCAGCATTCGATGATTTAGAATATTTTGTTTACCATGCCAATTTGGCCCAGCCTCTCTTAGAAAAGATGCTGGTTACGAGTTTGCACCGCCGCCGCCGCCTGGGCCGCTGCAGATCCACCGGCCATGAAGCTGTCGATCCGATTTCCAGCTACTGGTCCCAAAGGGTTGCGAACGGATGAAGTCGGGGTGCCACATCCACTTGGGGGTGCCACATCCACATCACCTACCCAACGGCGGCTCGCTCCACATGAAAAAACACCTACCCAACTCCATGTGACTGTTATCTAACCATGACCTCCGCCTCGAACACGACCTCCGCCTCGAGGCTCTGGCAGACTCCAGACTCCCTCACGGGTGGATCGTACGATGTCGGTCAGCTTGTCGGTCCGGTCGTGGATCACCTCCACCAGGCTCTCTTGGGAAACTGAGGCACCCCCCCACTCAAGATGAACAGAAACCAACCAGGACCCGACTAGGAACCTTCCAAGAGGTGGTTATATAGCCTCTTAGAGGTTAAGGGGTATCCAAAAAGCACCTGTTGGAAGGTGCTGGTAGAAGGGGTGTCTATTTATAGCCCCTTAGCTGTGATTCGGGGTGTCCATGAACCACCCCTTGAAGGCCCTGGAAGGGGTCAAGCTTCTTCTGTCAGCGGGAAACTGAGGGAGTCCGTGCTACGTGGTGCTACGGCGTGCGATAGTACGTCGGCCCCCACGAGGTTTCGGGACCCATCATGACCCCATGCACGAAAGGAGACCGCACCTCGTTTCGTTCGGGCCCATAACGTCGTACTCAAATTGATCCCCCAAAGCACCTCAATGTATGCAAATATGCCATACATGGAGTGTTTGGGATAGAAAGACGCTTGCTTCAATTGAAACATCACCACCACAACATGCCCCATGGAGTCCTGGAGAACCGTTCGTTTTTGGGGAGAGTATCACATATATTTTGGGTGGCCTTTGCACAATCCTTCACACCTCCCGCACCCGGCAGGCGGCCCGAGACATGCCGTCCGTGCTCTCCACAGAAAAGCAGAGCGGTGCTGCTGTGCTGCTGTGCCCGTGAAGCGCCGTAAGTGGCAGATCAAGGTCTCCAAGAGTCGCGAGCGCCCACTCACCCGGTTTTGCGTATGTGATGTTGTGTTCTTTTCCCTAAGGTTGAATCCCCTCACCTGGGGAACGATGTTATTTTCCAGGTTCCTGGACAACAAATCCAAGCCATGGATGTGCAAGCTGCGAAGGACGTCCCTCAGTGATGAATTGCAAACTGCACATTGCTCGTCTCTCAAGCAAGAGCCAAGCTAGTCAGGACAAAGGAAAAGGCAGGCCGCCATCTAAAAGAAGTATCATATAACGATGAAACATATACTGTATATATATATATATATCTGTGTTTATAGCAAGGGGCCCACAATCCCAGGCCGCCAAAACCGGAAAACGTCAGGAACAGAACCAGTAGAACATGGGTCCGCGCACAGGGCTCATGGAAGGGTTTTGCGCTTCAACGGCTGTATACTAGAGGTGATGCGATTTAACAACCATCATGCAGTAGAAAGTGGGTTAGCGTGCACGCTCGCTGAAAGCAGGGACGCGGTTCAGCCAGCATTGCCCGGACTGTGTCAAGAATGATAGGTTTCTATTTTCCGAGCCTCTCAAACATTCAAGGATTTGGGTTAAAACCCTGGTTCCAAATCATTATAGCTCGACAATTTGCGTGTGTCCATTCTGTTCATCACCCACAGTCACACTGGCCACGTCGACCGAGGTGATCTCCAGGAAAATCAACATGAAAATAACAAATGCATCGTCTGCAGCTCGCCAAAAACACCTACCCCTTCAGTGGATAAGTTGTTTTTTTCTGGATTGTTTTCCCCACTGAGCAAGAGAACAGGTGGAAGAGGTCAACCTTGATTATTTGAAGGAAACTGGGGTGGGTCAGAACAACCATCAAGGCCAAGTGCAGAACACTTCGCAAGGCCCGTGGAGCTAAGCAGACATCTCTGATCCGTTGAAGGCATACATGAGCCATGGTGATGCAGCAAATTTCAGTGCTGCAGCCAAGCGGGGATGTCATTGTTCTTGACATCACTCCAGAGTCAACAGGCAGGGAGCTAAAGGAGCTGATCAAAGATTCACAACCTTGGGATGAACTTACTCGCAGGACGACAAGTGTGGAGCTAATTGGAAGAGGCAACCATTTGCTGGGCAATGATGACAACGTATTGGACGCAGGAATTGCTGGAGATATTGTCCCAAGTGCTGTTTTTAGGCAAAATATGGTGATTTGCTCCCACCAAGATGCGTTTGCCGGTCTTGGCTGTGCTGTTGACTCGCAGTCATTGCTTACACCATGCAGTGGCCAAGTTGACCATCCCGCAATCAGTGACTCACATTGGGAATCGCGCCTTTGTGAATTGCAGCAACTTGATGGACTTGACCATCCCAAACTCAGTCGCCCGCATTGGCAATTCTGCCTTCCAAGGTTGTAGCTCCTTGGTGAACTTGACCATCCCCAACTCGGTGACTCACATTGGTGATAAAGCCTTTGATGGTTGCAGCTGTTTGTCTAACTTAAAAGTTCCGAACTCAGTGACACACATCGGGAATTGGGCGTTTGCTGATTGTAGGTCTTTGGTGAACTTGACCATCCCCGACTCGGTGACTCACATTGGGGAGGGCACCTATGTCAATTGCAGCTCTTTGACAAATTTGACCATTCCAGACTCGGTCACACACATTGCGCCTTGTGCATTCGATGGTTGCAGCTCTTTAGCGAACTTGACCATCCCTCAGTCGGTGACCCACATTGCAGATGCGGCCTTTCAGGATTGCAGGTCCCTGTCAAACTTGACCATCCCAGCCTCCGTGAGCCGCATTGGGGATTTTGCCTTTCAGGATTGCAGCTCCTTGGTGAACTTGACCATCTCGGACTCTGTGACCCACATTGGGAATGAGGCCTTTCAGGGTTGCAATTCATTGCTGAACTTGACCATCCCCGACTCTGTGACACACATTGGAGAGGGTGCCTTTGAAAATTGCCTCTCGTTGGTGAACTTGACCATCCCGATTTCCGTGACCCACATTGGGAATTCTGCCTTTCAAAACTGTCGCTCATTGATAAGCGTGACAATTCCGGACTCGGTGATCCATATTGGGATTGATGCCTTCAAGAATTGCAGCTCCTTGGACTCAGTCACCTTCTGGCGAACACCTTCCATCAGGTTTGGGAAAGCCCTATGCTGCTGGCCCAGCGTTGAAAATGTCTCGCGAGGTGGAGGTGGCTGAGGAGGTAGCTGACCTACCGATGGAGGTGTGTAGGAGGCAGCGGGTGCGCGCTCTTTTTTGGATGATTCAGTGGCTCTGGGCTGGACAGCCGAAATCCCTCCCAAGCTGACTTCCGACGTGGCAGGCCTGTAGTAGGTTGAGCGCCTGAATGAATATAGAGTGCAAACGACTCCGCAGACCATCCTGTCAGGGTGTCCTGGCTGGACTACCCAGCACACTACTTCTCCAGCCAAGACACCCAGACAGGACACTCCGAAGTTGGAGATGCCAAGTAATCCATTGGACACCAAATCTCCTAAAAATAATTGGATGGCCCAGGTGATAACCTGGATGGCAGGTGATGATTTGGGTGGCCCAGGTGATGATTTGTATAGTCCAGGTGGTGATTTGGATGGTCCAGGTGATGATTATATTTGCTTGCATGGACTGCTTTTCAATCACCCAATCTATAGGCATATTCCACAAAATGGAGTGTTTGGCAAGGTAAGTAAAAAGTAAGGATGTGTTGTGCTCCGATTTGGAGGCCTGGCTGGACACTGACAGGTCTGGAGGAGATTCATTATTAGTCGGAACCAGTCATGTATCTCGTATTATCAATACTATTCTGCATGCTAGTATTCCCAGACGCTCCATGTATGCCATATATGCCTACATTGACCCCCCACCACCCCAATGTAGGCATATATGGCATACATGGAGTGTTTGGGATTAATTTGGAGGCCTAAGAAGCCTTGGGCCCTCCATAGGGGTCCGGACACACGCACCTGCCACCCTGCCAGCCCATTTTCCATTCAGCCCTTTGCTCGGACTTTGAACCCTACGCTGGAGCTTCCAGGCCATTGATGAGCTCATGGACGACATCGAAAACGACTTCCGCATGGTGAGCCGCACCTCTACCGGGCCTGGGCACCGAGCCCTGACGACGTGTGACGCGAAGGTGAAGAGACGGGTGGACCTCCTGGGCAGCGTGTGTTTTGCCTTTTTCTCCGCTAGGAATTGGA